ACTTTGGGTGTGTACACACCCAGATTGACAAACTTTAAGATACCATGATTTATTGGACACAATTTCGGCCCGTTTTCAAAGGAGGTGAGCAGCCTCCCCCAAACAACCTGGGAGACTTTTTTGGTGCGTCTTTGTTTGCATTTCTTGTACGAAAAGGACTCTCTCGCTTATTCAACGCCCCCCTCCTGGAAGTGAGCACCCACCACGTACACGATCTGTCCAATCACAATTGGTTTCCGCTAATTAAGCTGCCAGATTTACAATGTCTTTGTAATGAAAATGTAATTACGCAATCACAGAAAAGTAATCTGTTTGTAGTTGTAACAACACTTTACTGAAGAGGCATAAAATATATTAATAAAAACTGGCATATAAGAAAAGAAGCGAAAGACAAAAAATAGGATTTAGAGGGGCATAGAAAACGGACATAAGAATCATACAGAAAGAATATAAAAGGTGGTCATAAAACGCATAGAAAAATCATCCAGAAAGAATATAAAAGAGGTTCGTTAAAATGCATAGAAGAATTATCAACAAAGGGTATAGGAATGAGACATAGGTAACGTATTAAGAAGAGAAATGTTATAAAGAAAAGATTGAAGGAATGGGTTTAGTAAACGATTTTTTCAAAGTTGTACGTCGTGTTTTTGAGCCACCAGCAAGTCCCAAACTTCGACTTATTGGCGCTCAACGAGTCTCTCTGTGGCCCACTCGTTATTGGACTTTGTGACATGTCGAAAACTTCGACAACAAGATCTTCGTCAGTGCTATTAAGGACGAAATCATCGCGAGGTAACCGCACGACGATAAAATTGCTTGCGATGTCTTGAACGCAGCAATCAAAAATGCATTGACGCAGCTTCACCAGCAGCCAGAACAAAATCGTAAGCTTGAACATAGTACTCGTCGCCTTGTTTCGCCGTGATGACATCTAGTGTCAACCCACTCGTCTTGGCGGATTATAGAACAAGGCAGCTAGGCCAACCTTAAGCTTCTTACTGCTGTTTGTGTTGTCTGCCAGAACGAGCCCACTTTGTACCAACGCAGGATCATATCATACGAAGCGATAACATCTGGACGGCAGGTTTCCCAAACTCCTGAAAAACAATCCACGAAACGACCACCTTCACATATATGACGTAGCATATATTCTTCTGCAAATTTCCTGGCCAAATCTCGTCCACCGTTCTGCATATTGGTGTGGCATAGATCTGTTTACTTCTTGTGTATCTAGCTCTTTTACATTTATCCCATGTTAAGGTAATGGACGAAGTTGATATGTGTATTATTCCTAGGATGCCTTTTCTAATCAACTGTTTATACCATACAGAGCAATAGCTGATACTTGCCGTCTTATGTAGTCTGATAAGTGAGGTAAGCATACCCATTCCCTCCTTCATAATATCTACCTTCGTCGTGACCTGTATCCTAGCTAGAAGTATGACAGTAATAGTAGTAGTAGTAGTAGTCGCGTCCTTAGTTCTATTTCTCTTTCTACTGTGTACTTTTTTCAAATGTCGTTTTTACAAATAATTCTGAACTGAAAAATCTGAACGCCCTCTTGCTTGCTTGCTTGTTTGTTTACGCCTATTGGAACGATCGTTGAAGCTTTCTCTCGATCACCCAATATGCATAACCCCCGCTCCCCCCACCTTGTTAGATGCTCGACCGTAAAAGGCAATTTTTTGAATCCTTCATTGTTTGTAAACAAATCTGCACAAAAAACCTCTGGGTGTGTATGGTATCAATAAAGCATTCGACAAGAACCGCATTTTTTTATATGATTCGATACAGAACGTTTTGTTCTAGTATCGGATTTGTACTTTTTTCCTGAACAACCACATATCTTATAGCAAGGTCGATCACTTTAAAATTAGATGAGGATCGTTATGGTTATGGCCTTCCTTGAGATAGTATATGCACTAATAATAATCCTTACCGTGAACACTGAGGCGTGCCTGGCTAGGAAAGGGTTCCTGAAGGTGGTGGATTGCCGCAGTACAGTGGTCCCCCGCTTTTTGCAGCAGCGGTTTTTGGTGGAAAAAACTGCAAAAAGTGGGGAACTGCAAAAAGTGAGGATGAGTATGAGATGTTACACAGACTGAGTCTATTATGTTAATTAAGTGTCAATGATAGTAAACCAATTAAAAGATATCGGTGCTGTGCTGAGGCTACTTATTATAACTCAACTCTTATATAAAAGGCTGTCGTCTCACTCTTGATGTTTATATACTGCACTATCGACATCTCCACACCACTATGGTAAAAGCGAAATACCAAAAGCTTACTGACGAGCAAAACGACGCTTTATATCAACATTACATTGCTCAAGAGCAAAAAAATCACAAGATTACTTATGGCCAATTGCTTGACTGGGCTAAAGGAAAATACAAGCTTGAAAATGTTCCCAACGAAACAACTATCTCGAGAATGATCATGAAAAGAAAGCGAGATGAAGAGAAGGGTGTTGACAGTAGTAAAAGACAAAAGTCGCGTGCAAAGTTTCCCGTAGGTCTAAATTATTCGAATACTTCTTCGCTATCCATATAATTAATAAAGAACAAATAGGAATTGGAATATGCCCTCTATACGTGGATAGAGCAAAGATTTTTTGAGAAGATCCCAGTCAATTGGGATATTATCAGAAAAGCCGGTGAAAATTTTGCAGCCAAACTGAGTATTCCGTCCAACGAACTGACGTTCTCAAATGGTTGGCAAAATCGCTTCCAAAACCGCTACAAGTTGAAGGTGCAAACAATCAGTGGTGAAGCAAGCTCTGCTAATGTCACACTAGCAGAAGCTCAGCTGCCGGAAATCCAGGAAGTCTTGAGAAATTATCCCCTAAGAGACATCTACAATATGGATGAGACTGCAGTATTCTACGCAAGTGCCCCCGTGACTACCATTGCACCTAGGTCATTCAAAGGATTCAAACAGGATAAATCGCGGTTGACATTAGTCCTCACAGTGAATGCTGATGGTTCTGATAAGTGGTATCCTTGGTTCATTGGCAAGGCAAAGCGGCCAAATTGTTTTGATCAAGTATGTGATACTTCTTCAAGGTCAAATTGATGACTTACTCACAAATGTCTTTTACGCAATCATAGGCCCAAAGAAAGAAAATCGATATCTCCAAGTACTGTGGAAATGCCAATGCTTGGATGACCCGTGAGATTTTTAAGAAATATCTCACAATGTTAGACAATTCTATGGTCTATCAAAAGCGAAAGATTGCTTTGCTGCTTGACAACTTTTCCGGTCACTACTGTGATTATGTCCCGAAGAACATCGAGCTGGTGTATTTGCCGCCAAATACAACTTCATTAATGCAACCTTTGGATGCCGGCATTATTCGCAGCTTTAAAGTACATTTCAAGTATGTTTTGTGATGATTAGTGATCTACTTGCATGCATTGTAGATGGAAATACTAAGGCTATTATTTCTGTTATTGTAATAGGAATCTGCAATATGAGCATGCATATAACAGCATTCAAGAGCGCCTGGAGAAAGGCCTACCTGCTAATAATGGCAACACGTTCCGTGTTAATGTTTTGACCGGAATTGCATGGTGCCATCAAGCTTGGAAAAAAGTCTCTGAATCCACCATTAGAAACTGTTACCAAAAAACAGGGGTAGTAGAGAAAGTAATTGATGACAATGTCAACAGTGCATCAGATAATGCAGATGAGGTAGCTCTTGGTCAGATTGACGATCACTTGAACCTCATTTATGGCATTGAAAATCTGGAAAGCTTCACTTTTGATGCAGATCCACCTGAGGAAATTGCAGCTGTCCATCCACTGCTTTCCGATGAAGAGATTGTTCAATCTGTGCTCCAAGAAGAGATAAAAGCAGGTGATAATGTTGCTGATAATGATCGTGATGATGGGGACCAAGGTGCTCACTCTGAATCGGTACTTCCAGCATATACTATGCGGGAAAAAATCAGAACTCTAGAAAAAACTATCAGTATTCTAGATGCCCCAGAACACCAAAGAGTCCGAGACGAACTCAGAAAGATTCGAGATGATATAAGAAAGCAAAGCCAGACCATACAATCTTCAATTACCGCGTATCTTTAGCTGTAAAAAGTTTGTGTAATAAAAATTATCTCTTTATGGAAATAAGGTAGATGTCACTGGTTCGAGACTCTGTGTCCCAGGCTCCTGAGTCAATAGCGGAAAATTGCAGGTCCCCATTTTTGGCCTGCAAAATGCAAAAAGTGAGGAAACTGCAATTTTATTAAGTGATGAGCGGGTTTGCTCCAAAAAAATCTGCAAAAACTGAGGATCTGCAAAAAGCGGGGCTGCAAAAAGCGGGGGACCACTGTAGTAGAATTACTCTGGGAGTGTGGTTGCTTCTTCTTCGTCGAAGCAATGGCTTAAAATGTAACGTGTAAGGTATGTAGGGCTAGGATAACGACTCAGGACAGTCGCACCGGTTCTGTTAAAGTCTTGGGGCTGCACATCGCCAAGTCGTATTATAAGCTTCCTTTGACCCAAATGTTGGCTTCAGGTTACAGGTGTAACAAAGAGAACTTATTGCCTGCGACACAACCCTCAAGTAAGAGCTTTCTGCTGGACTGCTGGTTCGGCCTAAAGAATTTCCAGTAGAGAATGTTTCTGTTTAGCCATTCGTATATGATAGAAAACCATCGAACGGTGCTTAAGCTAACGATATGAGCTTGGACTTCATTGGGTGAGAAGGGGTGATGACCAAGACAGCAGGATCGCGGCTATAGACGTTTTCATACGACCATCTGCTCACAAAGGGCATCAGTAAATGCATATGCATGCGTGTATCATAGTTTTTTAAATGCATGACATCGTTTTGAAAACTGCATTACTCTTTATATATGGATCCTCAATCAAGCAAGGGGGTAGAGGGAGAGTTTAAAAGCCAACTGACCAGCATGGAAAAACAAAACCCTGTCCAAGTTGATATTACTGCGATATCATAATATGAAGACAAACAATTTTGTTTATAGGCGAAATAGGGTTTTTGATTCTATGAATAATACTTCTAGAAACGAGAACCGTATAATATATGAATTGTACATGTGCTATATATGAATTGTACATGTGCTCAAGTGAAATGCGCCGTTTGATGCTTGTGTAATATTATCAAAATAGTCTCATCTGAAACTATTCCGCTATAATATTATTGTCTTAGGTTATGTATAATAATGATTATAATTTTGAGGCAATGTAATGCCTCTGTAATGGGGTAGGTTTTTGCTTAAAGCAGTATTCTTCAATCCCTGCTGATGCTATAGTATTTAAATATTCCAAAACTTGAGCGCGTGGTGAATGGTAGCTGATACATGATTGATGTGCGGCCGCCACTGCTTCTCGAGCTCTAGGTAGCATATCCTTGTAATACGCGTTCACTGTGTCTTCTACAGCACTTTCATCTTTGTACGCGTTGGCAAGTTCTAAACCGAGTAAACACGCATCTACTATAGCGTGATTTCCAGCTTGATACCACACGAGAATTAGCGACAACTTGCTAAACACTGACACACCGACTTATATCTCTCAGACGTAACCCACTACCACTGGTTGACACCTTCTAAACAACATTCAACTAACCTTGGCCTCCGTGATTTGTCATTGGGTGTGCAGCATCGCCTATAAGCACTGTACGCTGATGTTGTTTCTGGTTGCAGATCGCCTCGAGATTCGGATGCGGTGCTCGCTCTTTGATATACAGGGAACGTACATTAGTGTTAACTGGCGTTTCCATTACTAACTGCCTTAATGGTCCCGTGAACCCAGCCTCGACCACTTTTGCCTTGGCCCGCTGGAGCTTGTCTGTTGCACAATAGCTTTTGACCGATGCTGATAGCCAAGATGACGGATGTAATACTTTTTTTCCTTCTTCGACAGCTGCAAGGTGAATACCAGCATCTTTCTCTGGCCAAGTTACAGACCACATCATTTCATAGGGATTTTTCTGTGTATGGTCAACATCCAGTAACGAAGCAATGATACAGGTCGAGTGCTTGTTGGAGTCATCACTCTTACTTGCAGGAGCGATCATCATGCATGGGCCGAGTTTTTCGATTTCGCGACGCAACTCGTCGTTGATCCAGTAGCTTGCAGCCAGATTGCGTAGCGCATTTGTTGTGGTAGTTTGTTCGAATGCCTCGGGACCAATGAGCTGACGACATACATGTGAATGGACCCCGTCTGCGCCTACGAGTATCTTGCCATATTCTACCGTTCCGTCCGTAAAGATCACCTTGATGCCGCTACAACTACTATCACTACTACTACTGCTACTGCTGCTGCTGCTGCTCTTGATGCCATCACCATCACCATCAACTGCTACATTGGTGTAGTGATCAAATGTCTTGCCCCATATAACATCATCCATAACGTCCTCCAATAACCACGTACGGAAACGCCCACGGTTAAGGCGAAACAAATCGGTATTCGGCGGCGCGCTCATCAGGCCCAAACATCTGCTCTCAATGCCATCCACCACGGCAAACGAAGCTCGATCATTTGGATTAACTGCTGCCTTGGCTCCAAGTGTTGCATACTTTGCAGGGGCGATTGCCGCTTTCAACATGGGAAGAGAGAAGTTTAATGTAATTGCCCACCCTTGAAATCTTGCAAAAGCAGATGCGTCCCTTTCAAATATTTTGTAAGGTACGCCACGGTATTTCAGCACATTAGCCAGTGTAAGTCCGGATATACCCGCACCGATAATAAGCACTGGCTGGTTGTTATCGCTTTTATTTAAAGGCATAGGAATAAAGAAGTAGAATAACTTAAAATGCAGCCAAGAAAAGATAGGAAAAGAAAAAAAAAGTGCTATTGTTAGTAAAGAAAAAGGAATGGGTTGCTGCATTTCCTCCCTTGCAGCCGTCAATTACGGATAGAAGTGGGTGCTTTTGGCTTTTCTTAACAGTTGCCCCTTTCTTTCTCTGTTGCTTTTAATAGAGTAAGCATGTGGCAATAAATTGGTTGCGTTCCTTTGAGTTCAGTAAACAGGAGGCTGTGTATAGGAAGCGTAGACACACATTACAAACAATGCTCTGAAAATATGTTACAGTATTGGATGATACTCAAACCTCCTCATTACTTCTAGCAAGTAGATGGACTTTCGCTTTCATGTACTACTACACAGTTTTTACATGTCATACATTGCTATGTGCACGACCCTGTGATACTACTCGCGCCTTAGCAGATGATAAATCTGGTCATGTTTCATCCGCAGCATTATATTACATTTGTTCTTGCTTCTACAAGCTAGCTATTATATCATCAAATGATTATGTAGACAGTTTCTAATTGTATGCAAAGGGGACCATTTGTCAATCCCAGTAGCGTGTAGTGATAGTTTTTAACTTTTTCAGTATTGTTTTTTCTTGCTATTCAGTAAAGTTTTGTCGTTTTAGAAACGCGAAACATTATGAAGAGTGGATCAGCACTGCAATTTCACACTGCGGGAAAATAAGAGTGCGAAAAGGGTTGGAAAACGGGTTAAAATGTTAACCGGAAGGAATGGGGTAAACTGGAAAAATCCACCCACTCTACTCTTTTTTTTTGACCTGTCGTTGACCAGCATTTCCTTAAATTATCCTTATTTCCTCTGCGTTTTCACCAGTATTACCCGACTTTTACCACTGACTCTCACCCAAATACACCGTTATCAACCGCTATTATACTTTAAATACAAATGTTAAATAATAATGTATATACAGAGCCAGAAGTAATAGTTTACAGTGATCTAGTATCTAGTATGCAGAAGGGTATCAATCCATATCCAGCAAGCAACTACACTTTGCGCGTGAATCCTATATTTGAGGCGTGATCAATTAGTAAGATATACAATAACGCGAGCATCCCTTTAGACCACAGATACTTGCCTAATCGGCTGATTGTTTTCGCGACTTGCGCTTCTTTCCACCTTGCTGTCTACTCTTCTTCTTTCGTTTCTATAAATGACGCCTAACAGTGAAGATACACAACAGAGTATAATGGTAGCCAAGTTTTATATATATTACCCTTGACTCGCTTGTTGTTGTTTCTTGCTGTGTACTAACGCTTGTAGTTGTGCTTTGCTGTGTGGTATCCCTACTTAAATTATGATCCTTTGAGTAAACTCGTTTCAAAGTAATGTTTTACAGCTGATCATATTTTCTATCCAGTTTTTTCCTGAGCTCTCTGTTGTAATACTTCGCCTTATCATGCCATCGTTCATATGCTATGTGTTCGACACATCAATTTCCCACACATTGACGAACTGGTAGCCCTTGCTTTTGAGCCTCTTCGAAAACAGTGTCAACCAGCAGCTTCTTGTCAATTAACTTGAGCTTTTTCCAGGAAGGTATTCTTGCCTCATCGCCGTTCTTGTCCTGCAGCGTTTCGAACACGTCTGTACACGCCCAAAGCGCTACTTTTCCCATATCTTTTAATATAGACTTGGCATTCGCAGTGATTTCGAAGTCGCCGTGCTCTTCAAAGAACTGTAGAAGTGCTGATCGAGAACATCTTGACACTGGTGATTTCTCTGATCCCGGTCGTGACGATTACGGCTATACAACGCCAGAATCACGAGAGCTGCAGTCTGGCGCTGGCTCTTTCAGCAACGCAGCAAGCAATCAAAGCAGCAGTTACAGTGACAGCACGAACAATGGTAGTAGTGAAACCGGTGGAAGTATCAGCAGCGGTAGTCAATGTAAAAGTAGTAGCGACAGCGATAACGACAATGACGGCATCACGAGCAGAAACAGCAACAGCAGCGACGAAAACTATACGTGAACACGAGTTTTCAGCAAAGCCTCGCCTGAACGCCAAAAAGATTGACTTTGCAAAGCTGACATTACCTGTGGATTTGAATGCGCGTAGGGACCAAAGCAGTGATGATGCATTGCAGTGGGCAGATACGTTTGGCACTATACTCTTGCTTTTTAGTCATCAGCACCAAGGAAAGAAAATGATCTTATGTCTACTACGTCTTGAACTTGATGCACATCCAGCTACATTCACAAATATTCCCATTGGCACACACTCACAATCTAGGCTCTATGTGACTGACGCTTCTCATCTGGATTGTCTGGCAATGCAGCTCAAGTCGATAAACATTGAAAATAGGCACTATTATCTGTATCCCGATATGCGTAGACACAACTTCTTAAATAGCTCCAAAATTTGATCATTTTTCATATCAATAATATTGCGTTGGGTATTCGCGGTGAAAAAAAGAGAAAAGCTAGTTTACTGAAATCACCTAGACTACCCTGGAATAACCTTCTCGACTATTCTCACCTTGTTTTTACCTTATCTCACCATCGTCATTTTTATTATAGAAAAATTAACCCAAAGTGCCCTGTTTGTAACCATTCCATACGGTGAATCAGAATTTTAACCGCTACTTCACCTATATTAACGCATAATAACCGGTTTCTCACCCAATCCGTTCCCATCATCGATGATGGGAACAGCAGGTCCACCACAGACAATACATATGAAATGGGTATATAAACGCGTAAGAAAAAAAAATGTTGCCGAAATTCCAGAGCTGCATATCAGGCATACCTTTTGGTTATTACATTTCTTTTAAAGCGGGACTGCATAATGACTTACGCACCCTCTGTGTGCGACTGGAATAGTGTTTTTGATTTATCGACAGAGCAAACTGCTCTTTCTGTTATCGTAAACAACATGACAGCACTTAACGCTATTTAAAATATGTTTGAATAATAAATTCTCGCTTTGAGAAGCATGTTAACACATCACACATGCTCTTTCTTTTCAGCAATTTCTGTTCTCTGGATCAAACAATGGCTTTGAAAAAACTTACATATCATTTAACGACAGTGACTGTACAGAGCAAGGGGGGACAGCAGATTCATAAAAAGCAGCGAGACACAGACATGCCAAACCAATCATCAGCAAAGATCAAGTGAAGAGAGACTAGTTTATGTATCGGAAAATGCTCCAATAATGTATTCTGCTGAAACTATACATTTACTAGATGGCGCGCATGGATTGTCCTGGCAGAAGTTGTGTTGGTGACTCTTGCCCGTATGTAAAATTAAATTTTGCTGGTTATTAATTTGTCTGTATCGCTCATGTACAACTAATGTGCCTGTCATTTTCGCGCAACTTTTCTCTCTCTCTAGCTTCGATATCTCCTCTCCTTTTCATAGGGGTAAGCCTTTGTTTAGCCGAGCAAAATGTTCATATTTACGACATATTCACACAAAGGAATACGTGTAAGGCATTTTACAGAATCATTACCTACGACACAAGACTTTTGGTGGTGAACCCGCTGTGGAGATGCAATTAACATCGTGGGCACTCTGCTGCAATTAGACACTTCTTTCTTCATGTTTCCAGGATGGGTATTACTAGGGACACTCCAAAAAAATGACTCGACACTCCATTTTTCCTCAAATAAACCAAATAGTTACACAAAAATAAACAGATGCTCTATAAATATACTAAAAAAGGACTATTAAAGGAAGAGGAGTATTTGGAGTGTTGCAATCGCCACGATGGCGTTGTAGGCGTTTGGAGTGTTTGGAGTGTTTGGAGTGTTTGGAGTGTCTGGAGTGTTTAAAGTGTTGCAATCGCCATGATGGCGTTGTAGGCGTTTGGAGTGTCTGGAATGTTTAAAGTGTTGCAATCGCCATGATTGCGTTGCAGGCGTTTGGGGTGTTTGGAGTGTTGCAATTGCCATGATGGCGTCGTAGGCGTTGAGCTTATGAAATTTTTTACTACTACGATGACTGATAAAGCTACGAGATGTCTATTATATAAGTTGACAAGTTTATAAAAGAAAAAGGATAAATCCCCTTTTCTTCCTCTCTCCCTTTTCTATCAAAATGAACGCTACAAGAACATATACCCTGGTTGATCTTATTGGCACCAAATATGATTCGAAAAATCAGCTCCGAGCAAAGGTTCAAGAGATGGCCCTAAAGAATCAGTTTGCAACATCCACCAAGCGCAGCAACAGTCGAAATATCTACATCCACTGTGTCCATGGGGGGTATCTACAGGAACTGTCATGACATCGACGATGATGAACGTGAAAGACTGGTATCGACACAGAAGACCGGTTGTGCTTGGGAGCTCTTTGGCTCATACATACAGAAAATCAAAAAATGGGTGATTAAACGTGTCAGCAGCGCCGACAGCCACAATCATTTATTTGACAGTAACGCAGCAGCATCTTACCATCAACATCGAAACCCAACAGCTGATATTGCCAGTCGCATCTTGTCAATGACAGAGACTTCTATCAAACCAGCCAAGATTTGTCAAGAGTTACAAAACAACGACGAAGGCACAATCGTGACAATCAAGGATATTTACAATTTCCGCCAAAAAATATTCAAGGACGACAAATCTGGTGCATTCAGCAAACTATTCAGCTTCTTGGTCAGCAATCAATATATCGTAAGATATCGCATAGATAGGAAAACGGAAACATTGGAAGCATTGTTCGTTACGCATCAAGTTGGCTTGGAAAAAGCAAGGCGATTTAAAGAAGTCATCAGTCTCGATGCGACATATGGAACGAACAACAGCAAGATGCCACTAATTAACGTTGTTGGGATCAGTAACCTTGGTACGACGTCGCTACACAATATCTTAATTGCATCAGCAGTCGTCGTCAATGAAAAAACCGACTCCTATCTGTGGGCTATGAGGACCATGCGTGATACTATTTGGCCCGAAGGTGATGTCGGTATCTTCATTACTGATAACGAGAAGGCGCTCATCACTGCCATCGATACTATCTTTCCGAAATCGATTCATCTTTTATGCGGTTGGCACATGGCGCAGCATTTGATCTCTCAGTTCGGTGGCTGCTTTCCGAAGTACAAGCAAGTCAAGAGCGTTGTGAATTGCTTGATTTACAAGTACAAAGACGAAGAGAAATTCGAAGAAGCAATCAAGGAATATCGCCAACTAGCAGAGGATGCAGCAGCAGCAATGATCGAACAGGCAGAAAAACAAGATATCAAAAAGGCTGAAGCAAAAGAAAAGAAGCTGAACGATAAAGAAGAAATCGATGAAGAACAAGAAAAGAAGCCGACAAAAAAAGAGGAACTGCGAAACAAAAAAAGAAAAGACAAGGAAATGAAAAAAAGAAACAAAATCGCAGTTGCCCGTAAGACAAAAATCATCAATTATCTCGAAAGGTATGTATATCTTACTTTGTAACGGTTTGCTTGAAATTATGTAGATTAAGTATGTGATAAGGGTGATTTAGTTAACTCACTGTACCCTCGCGTTATTTTACGTCTAGTGTGCTCACCTACAAGGATAAATGGGCTGCACCGCAGGCTGGAAAGCAGTTCAACCTTAATGTGCGAACCACATCACGAACAGAAGGGACTCATTGGATCATCAGAGATACTATGCAAACGACGGGCAGCCTCTATCGCACGTTTAAAGCTATTAACGAAGTCATGAAGAAGACAGTAAGCATTCTATATTCTCACTCATCTCCGGTGTTTGCTATTCAATTTATATGTAGCGATATGTAAATAAGCTAACTTTAATGCTTAAAAGTTTGAAACAGAAAAGATGGACTTCATACACGAGCTTCGTAACACTCCACTTTTTACAAAGCGTGAGAGTGCAGCTTTAAGGAACCTTTTCGGCCATGTCAGTTTCTTTGCTTTGATCCGAATTCGAAGGAGCTTGACCGTGCGTGGAAAAACGTAGGCAATCAAATCAATTGCGACACGTTGGATTGTATTTGCACGAGTAGAATCAATTTTGGTTTACCATGCCAGCATATGATCAACCTAAACGGTCCTGCTGTTGATTTGAATGAGATTCCTAAACGTTGGCTTCTACAGTATGATTCAGGTATGTACTATTATACAGCTTCATCTACTAACAATAGCATGTTGTCGATACCCTCTCATATATGTGCTTCCTGTGTATTATATAGCTCTATTTGAAATTAAAGACCCAGCAGTATCAGTTGACCACCAGATGGAGAAGCTCGTTACAAACTTAAAGAACAAAATCATTTCCCTGGAAACCGAACAAGAGAAAGTCAATCTCTTATCCCGTTTTGAGGAGATCCTTGAGGAAGACGTTGAGACTGTTGATCTCGCTGAAGTCACGTTTCCTGAGCCAGTTGCTACGAAAGGAAGGCCCAAGAATACGAAGGACAAAAGGATCCCATCTTCTTTTGAGACCGAAAAGAAAGAAGAGCTGCTTAATGCTGCTGGTAACGATAAGCCTAAAAAGGCCCTTCATACCAGCGAAGTACAACACGACGACTATGTCCTTTCAACATCGAAAAGGGATCAAGAAACTGTGTATTTGGAACGTGCTCGTAAAAGGTCAGTCTTTTTGTATTCAGAACAATACTTCGTCATACGTACTATTCCCATTTTATATTAATAAATGTATATATGATTGTACATATAGGATTCGTACCGAACCTAAACCAGAGTCTTTCTTCTTTTTAGTTCACCCAGATATTCCGAGGGATTGCATTCATGGGACAGTTAATATTGCTTCTGACGGCTGGTGTGGCTTCCGCACCATCGCGCATTGCGTTAAAGGAGACCAAGAACAATTCATGACGGTCAAAAGGGAAATGCTAGAGTGCCTGCACAAAAACAAGGACATATATTCGAAGTATTTCATCAGCATGTATGACCTTGCTCGCCTCGAGGAGACGATCGCTTTTGGCCTTGACTACACCCGCAACACTGAAGGCAAATATCCAAGGTGCCCCAGCAAGCATTGGTTCTACACTCCTAGTTGTGCTCAACTTGTTGCTGATACATACAGACGACCTATTGCTGTGTATCTGGACAGAGATGACAAAAACGAAAATGGAATGTACTGTACGGCGCCATTGTTGTTTGTACCATTTGAAGGACCAGGAACGAATGCTCGACCGTTACCTCTTATCATGCAGTTCGTTTCAGGATGTCATTGGGCGACATTAGAAATGAAAACTGCAAAGAAACTACAATGGCCTTTTATCGAACGATCGGTTGTAACAGCTTGTGAAAAGATGGGTCACACGCATGATTTGCGCAAAAAAGTTTGGAGATATTTGGACATCAAAAAGGTCAACATTGAGGAAAATGTTTAGAAAGAAACAATTTCTATAAATAGTTTTTTCTTATGCATCTGTGTGATGCTATCACATATCATTATCAATTTTCTCCTATTCCTTTTATATTAACATTATTATTTAATATACATAATTATGATAAAATCGATAAATATCAACTCAAGCTTTATTTCGCTCTTAGCACTCCATTTTGCACTCCATTTTGCACTCTATTGTCTACATCCTGCACTCCAACATCAGAAGGTCCATCAAGCGATATGTTTATAGAGCAACTGTTTATTTTTGTGCAACTATTTGGTTTATTTGAGGAAAAATGGAGTGTCGAGTCACTTTTTTGGAGTGTCCCTAGTAGTAATACCCTTCCAGGATACATATGTTCGGCGAATAGACGGATGTGCTGCTCCTGACAAATGTTGTTGATTTCTGCTGCTAACTGATGAAAATGTTGATGCTGATTGAACCTTGTTTGTTTATGAGGGCGCATGTCGTAACACTGTCGGATCGGATTTGGACAATTTCCTTGCGCCATGTTTGCTGATGGCTCTGTAACGCATGCAGAACTGCCCCTAGTTCTCTCGCCAATTGATTGACATCGCTTGTTCTTGTGGTCGCCAATGTCCGAAACCTTGTCGACCTGTGCTGTAATAACCCCGCCCGGAATCGCTTGCGTTTAGAAATCCCAATGGTTCCAGATGGGTCTTTAAAAGGTGGCCATGTTGGCGTGCTTGTTCTTTGCTCGATGCTAGCAGAGATGTGAAATGTCAATTTCAGGCCTTGTTTCCGCAATGGGGCAAGCAACTTGACCATAATTTTTGTAAACAACCGGGGCGCATGGGCCACTCCAAACATCAGGCGACGTGCTTGATAGGTCTTCTGTTGCCAACAAAATGCCACAGAAGGACGGTCGTCCGAATGTAGCGGGATATGTAAGTATGCATCCTGGAGAATGCACCTCACTATCCACTCCGATGGACGGACCATATGTCGCAAGGTCGGCAGACCCTCCATTTTGAAATGCTCGTATTGGATATAGTCGTTCAATTGTGAGCAATTCAGTACCGCACGAACCTTGTTGTGTTGCCGGAGCGGAAACAGATACGATTGCACATGCATCTGGTGATATGGAATCTCTTCGATGGCTTGTTTGTTCAGTAATAGCTCCTGTATACTGCTTGATCCAGGAGAGCGGCGTTCTCCTGTGACATACGTAAGCGATGGTCCTCGTAGCCAACCATTTTTGGGGGAAAACTGTAAAGGGAATCCGTACTCGGGCTGATATTTGTTTCAATGTCCATGGATCTGGTGTTGAACCCAGGTTTGTTTGTTGACTTGTAGCAGAGCTCCTACTACTGGATATGAGGGCGGTACATAGTGGAACTGGTTGCTGCAGGACCATCAGACGTCGGCAATGCTGAATCCAGGTTCGCCGTGGTTGCGCCATTGCCTGAGTATTGTATTGTTTATCTGTCGGAGGTATTGCTGGCGCCCGCTCCACCTCCGGAGTAGTTTTTCCATTGGGTTTTGGTATACCCACGGAAGCCACCACGGTTGTTGTAGTTGCTGTTGCTCCCGTTCGAGTTGGCATTGACAATGACGCGATGGTGATTCCAGTTGCGGGCTTCGTCATGAACCTTTTGGCAGAACTCGGGGCCAAACAAATCTGCGTCGTGTTCAGCTGAGGTTTCTGTCGTGGAGCAGGCACTAATGAGAGCTTGACTCCAACGCGCTGATTTTGCCAAGGCTTCTCGTCTTTCGATTCAATTGTCTTCAGCTGTGTGGAACCCAAGTGCGATGATGTTCTGAAACTTGCGCGCCATGGATGCCATGAAGACCTAATCGGCGTGTTCATGTAAGACTGATGTTTCCAAGAAGTGGAGTGTATAACAGGCGGGGCGGAGAGCTTGGTACACTTCTTTTTGAATTTTGGCGAGCTGTCTGTCTCTAGCCTTTGCTTCTCCCTGTAAAGAATGGCTGTAATTCTGCGTCGATATCTGGCGTGCGCAGGAGACCTGCTTCAAGCTCTGGATTTTGCCTAAGCAAGTCTTTGATGGTGATAGAGGCAAGGCGGTTATCGATGCGCGGGTAACCGACGACTTGCTTGACTGATTTGGCGACGGGGTAATGCCCGGCTGCATTGTAATTTTCGCGAGCTGATACGAGAGGTCGATCAAAGCTTTCGTCTTTATCGGGCCTTAATAATAGTGTTGATAAAGCTCAGGTATTTCAAGGTTGTCTACTGGTGATGGTGTTGTTGGTGTCGGTTTGGTCTTCAGTGTTCATGTACGTAGGCGGACTGCCACAAGCTTTGAAAACGGCTAAAGAGACATAGGAATAGCAAATTCTTCTTTAATAACAAGTTTACTACCACATTTAGTATATAAATAAAGGCTGTGGCATGCTTGGAAGCGGCCGATAACATTGGATGACGAGTGACGACGATGGACAGTTAAATGACGGCAAATGTGGTATAAGATATATATACGTATGCAGCGTTGTTTTTATTTCGAGATGAGCATATATAAATATGCGATTAGGTGGGATATGTTGCGATAACAAAAAAACGTAACAATTTATTGAGCAAGGTGTTCCTTGATCTTGCCATCGACTTGGCTGGAGTCCTTGTCATCACGGACTTCATCAACCTTTTGGCCGTTCTTGTAGAACAAGAAGGTAGGCAGAATCTGATCAGAAACTTCGTAAAAGATATCCTAGTAATTTTTTTAGCGAAAAAAATGTCAGCTGTTTCGTAAGATTTGGCCAAAAAGTAAACTCCCTTCCCCACCCCCTTCCTCCTTATTCCAGCAAAGCAGATGGTAGCAAACACATACGTGAACCGCATCAGCGTTAACCTTGGCAAAAATGGCATCAGTGTAATCTTGGGACATCCCCTCGACAATTTCAAACATCCCTTGGTCCTCGGTCTGTGGGGTCCACGCGTAGACAATGACCTATCGCACATGAATACTATTGTTTTAGTAGGGGTGGATGTGACACGACTACAGCAAGAACTGCAAAGGAAATGCAATACATACAAGCTTGTCACTCTTGATGAGTTCTCGGAAAGCTTCGACAGATGTGAGGTCTTGGACAGTCATGATGGTTCTGATAAATGAGGAAAAAGTTAAAGAAAACAAACGCGCAATCGGAGGGGAGGGGTGTCGCTTGTTTTATATAGAATGCCGAAGCTTTGAAAAGAATGTAAAAGCTTCAAAAATAGCCAGTAAGGCGTATATTACCAAACAGCGTTACCCGCTATACACACCCCAAGATGCAAATTCATAAAAAAGGACATTGCTACGCTCAAACTTGGATAAATAAAAGAAGTGATTGGCTGAAGCTGGAGTTTTGTTTACTTCTAAGCGAAGTGCCAGGAGAACTGAAGAGGCACACGGGTGTGAGAACCAGCGTGTGGGGGGACATTCTTGCATCTTGCTCTGACAAAAACTCTCCCCATCTGCAGATTTCGAAGTCCAGCAGTGAGTATACTAATCTGCGTTTTCTTTCTAATGAGCTTTTTTTGCTTATCTTCTAACACTTCTTTTAATGTCTCATATATAGAGCATCTTTTATTACAAAAAACGTAAGCTTTTGATTGATAGCATATTATATAACGTACGAACACATATCAACTAACACTCTGTATAATAGGATGGCCTGTCTCTACTCAGTCAAATACCATGGTAAGCTGCTTTCTATTATAGCGGATAATGGCTTTCATAATCTAAACCATGAAAACTGACGCGTTTTTTCGCTAGATAAATGATCCAAGTCGGCACAACTTTGTCGTAGAAAGAATGTCAAGAGTAGTGGAGCTGTTCAACATCATTGTTGGCTTGGCTGTACGGTCCAGCGTCGTCACCAGCTATCGTTTTTTTTGTATTCGTTGCAACGCTTCCCATTGAGGGCGTAAAATAAAATGAAACTCATCCTCCGTTGCCCAGTTACATCTCCCCCGAAAGTGGAATCCCCCAAAAATCATCTCACATGCCCCTTCTGTAAAAGGAAATTTTTCTTGATCTCTGTTTACTTTTCCATGTTCCAAATTGGGAAACGGGGCACTTTGGGTGTGTACACACCCAGATTGACAAACTTTAAGATACCATGATTTATTGGACACAATTTCGGCCCGTTTTCAAAGGAGGTGAGCAGCCTCCCCCAAACAACCTGGGAGACTTTTTTGGTGCGTCTTTGTTTGCATTTCTTGTACGAAAAGGACTCTCTCGCTTATTCAACGCCCCCCTCCTGGAAGTGAGCACCCACCACGTACACGATCTGTCCAATCACAATTGGTTTCCGCTAATTAAGCTGCCAGATTTACAATGTCTTTGTAATGAAAATGTAATTACGCAATCACAGAAAAGTAATCTGTTTGTAGTTGTAACAACACTTTACTGAAGAGGCATAAAATATATTAATAAAAACTGGCATATAAGAAAAGAAGCGAAAGACAAAAAATAGGATTTAGAGGGGCATAGAAAACGGACATAAGAATCATACAGAAAGAATATAAAAGGTGGTCATAAAACGCATAGAAAAATCATCCAGAAAGAATATAAAAGAGGTTCGTTAAAATGCATAGAAGAATTATCAACAAAGGGTATAGGAATGAGACATAGGTAACGTATTAAGAAGAGAAATGTTATAAAGAAAAGATTGAAGGAATGGGTTTAGTAAACGATTTTTTCAAAGTTGTACGTCGTGTTTTTGAGCCACCAGCAAGTCCCAAACTTCGACTTATTGGCGCTCAACGAGTCTCTCTGTGGCCCACTCGTTATTGGACTTTGTGACATGTCGAAAACTTCGACAACAAGATCTTCGTCAGTGCTATTAAGGACGAAATCATCGCGAGGTAACCGCACGACGATAAAATTGCTTGCGATGTCTTGAACGCAGCAATCAAAAATGCATTGACGCAGCTTCACCAGCAGCCAGAACAAAATCGTAAGCTTGAACATAGTACTCGTCGCCTTGTTTCGCCGTGATGACATCTAGTGTCAACCCACTCGTCTTGGCGGATTATAGAACAAGGCAGCTAGGCCAACCTTAAGCTTCTTACTGCTGTTTGTGTTGTCTGCCAGAACGAGCCCACTTTGTACCAACGCAGGATCATATCATACGAAGCGATAACATCTGGACGGCAGGTTTCCCAAACTCCTGAAAAACAATCCACGAAACGACCACCTTCACATATATGACGTAGCATATATTCTTCTGCAAATTTCCTGGCCAAATCTCGTCCACCGTTCTGCATATTGGTGTGGCATAGATCTGTTTACTTCTTGTGTATCTAGCTCTTTTACATTTATCCCATGTTAAGGTAATGGACGAAGTTGATATGTGTATTATTCCTAGGATGCCTTTTCTAATCAACTGTTTATACCATACAGAGCAATAGCTGATACTTGCCGTCTTATGTAGTCTGATAAGTGAGGTAAGCATACCCATTCCCTCCTTCATAATATCTACCTTCGTCGTGACCTGTATCCTAGCTAGAAGTATGACAGTAATAGTAGTAGTAGTAGTAGTCGCGTCCTTAGTTCTATTTCTCTTTCTACTGTGTACTTTTTTCAAATGTCGTTTTTACAAATAATTCTGAACTGAAAAATCTGAACGCCCTCTTGCTTGCTTGCTTGTTTGTTTACGCCTATTGGAACGATCGTTGAAGCTTTCTCTCGATCACCCAATATGCATAACCCCCGCTCCCCCCACCTTGTTAGATGCTCGACCGTAAAAGGCAATTTTTTGAATCCTTCATTGTTTGTAAACAAATCTGCACAAAAAACCTCTGGGTGTGTACGCCGGAAAACCGGAGGATATCATATACAGCTGAGAAATATGCATCCGTATGAGTAGGAAGTGATTTGCGTCAGGCAAGCCCTTCTCTCTGGCGCATATAATGAGAAGTACTCGAGCTGATTTCTCAGGAGAATTACATCTCCAGGTTCATCATGTTGGGTCCGTCCCTACAAAGATATAAACACAAATACTGCTTTGTATGACTGACAATTCGTATCCTAATCGGTGTAATTTCTTTGCTCAACCTTACAACAAGAACTACTCTAGTGATCAGAAAAGAAAAGTTAGATCATAATTGCTGCTGTGAGTGAGACTTGCGGCCTAATGCTACTGGGCCAGGTCCTCGTAAGAGTAATGAGACAGAGGGTATATCGATGAACATTTCAGCTTTTGAGCAGTGATTACCAATGTCCCAATTAAGAAGACCATTACATTTTTCACTTTTACCATTCTTGTAATATGACCGAGCACCATAACGATTGCGGAACTATGATATGGACAACACTAATCGGTATGGTATCAATAAAGCATTCGACAAGAACCGCATTCTTTAATATGATTCGATACAGAACCAAACTTTAAAACAAAAGAACGTTTTGTTCTAGTATCGGATTTGTACTTTTTTCCTGAACAACCACATATCTTATAGCAAGGCCGATCACTTTGAAATTAGATGAGGATCGCCATGGTTATGGCCTTCCTTGAGATAGTATATGCACTAATAATAATCCTTACCGTGAACACTGAGGCGTGCCTGGCTAGGAAAGGGTTCCTGAAGGTGGTGGATTGCCGCAGTAGTAGAATTACTCTGGGAGTGTGGTTGCTTCTTCTTCGTCGAAGCAATGGCTTAAAATGTAACGTGTAAGGTATGTAGGGCTAGGATAACGACTCAGGACAGTCGCACCGGTTCTGTTAAAGTCTTGGGGCTGCACATCGCCAAGTCGTATTATAAGCTTCCTTTGACCCAAATGTTGGCTTCAGGTTACAGGTGTAACAAAGAGAACCTATTGCCTGCGACACAACCCTCAAGTAAGAGCTTTCTGCTGGACTGCTGGTTCGGCCTAAAGAATTTCCAGTAGAGAACGTTTCTGTTTAGCCATTCGTATATGATAGAAAACCATCGAACGGTGCTCAAGCTAACGCTATGAGCTTGGACTTCATTGGGTGAGAAGGGGTGATGACCAAGACAGCAGGATCGCGGCTATAGACGTTTTCATACGACCATCTGCTCACAATGGGCATCAGTAAATGCATATGCATGCGTGTAGTTTTTTAAATGCATGACATCGTTTTGAAAACTGCATTACTCTTTATATATGGATCCTCAATCAAGCAAGGGGGTAGAGGGAGAGTTTAAAAGCCAACTGACCAGCATGGAAAAACAAAACCCTGTCCAAGTTGATATTACTGCGATATCATAATATGAAGACAAACAATTTTGTTTATAGGCGAAATAGGGTTTTTGATTCTATGAATAATACTTCTAGAAACGAGAACCGTATAATATATGAATTGTACATGTGCTCAAGTGAAATGCGCCGTTTAATGCTTGTGTAATATTATCAAAATAGCCTCATCTGAAACTATTCCGCTATAATATTATTGTCTTAGGTTATGTATAATAATGATTATAATTTTGAGGCAATGTAATGCCTCTGTAATGGGGTAGGTTTTTGCTTAAAGCAGTATTCTTCAATCCCTGCTGATGCTATAGTATTTAAATATTCCAAAACTTGAGCGCGTGGTGAATGGTAGCTGATACATGATTGATGTGCGGCCGCCACTGCTTCTCGAGCTCTAGGTAGCATATCCTTGTAATACGCGTTCACTGTGTCTTCTACAGCACTTTCATCTTTGTACGCGTTGGCAAGTTCTAAACCGAGTAAACACGCATCTACTATAGCGTGATTTCCAGCTTGATACCACACGAGAATTAGCGACAACTTGCTAAACACTGACACACCGACTTATATCTCTCAGACGTAACCCACTACCACTGGTTGACACCTTCTAAACAACATTCAACTAACCTTGGCCTCCGTGATTTGTCATTGGGTGTGCAGCATCGCCTATAAGCACTGTACGCTGATGTTGTTTCTGGTTGCAGATCGCCTCGAGATTCGGATGCGGTGCTCGCTCTTTGATATACAGGGAACGTACATTAGTGTTAACTGGCGTTTCCATTACTAACTGCCTTAATGGTCCCGTGAACCCAGCCTCGACCACTTTTGCCTTGGCCCGCTGGAGCTTGTCTGTTGCACAATAGCTTTTGACCGATGCTGATAGCCAAGATGACGGATGTAATACTTTTTTTCCTTCTTCGACAGCTGCAAGGTGAATACCAGCATCTTTCTCTGGCCAAGTTACAGACCACATCATTTCATAGGGATTTTTCTGTGTATGGTCAACATCCAGTAACGAAGCAATGATACAGGTCGAGTGCTTGTTGGAGTCATCACTCTTACTTGCAGGAGCGATCATCATGCATGGGCCGAGTTTTTCGATTTCGCGACGCAACTCGTCGTTGATCCAGTAGCTTGCAGCCAGATTGCGTAGCGCATTTGTTGTGGTAGTTTGTTCGAATGCCTCGGGACCAATGAGCTGACGACATACATGTGAATGGACCCCGTCTGCGCCTACGAGTATCTTGCCATATTCTACCGTTCCGTCCGTAAAGATCACCTTGATGCCGCTACAACTACTATCACTACTACTACTGCTACTACTGCTACTACTACTGCTACTACTGCTACTACTACTGCTGCTGCTGCTCTTGATGCCATCACCATCACCATCAACTGCTACATTGGTGTAGTGATCAAATGTCTTGCCCCATATAACATCATCCATAACGTCCGCCAATAACCACGTACGGAAACGCCCACGGTTAAGGCGAAACAAATCGGTATTCGGCGGCGCGCTCATCAGGCCCAAACATCTGCTCTCAATGCCATCCACCACGGCAAACGAAGCTCGATCATTTGGATTAACTGCTGCCTTGGCTCCAAGTGTTGCATACTTTGCAGGGGCGATTGCCGCTTTCAACATGGGAAGAGAGAAGTTTAATGTAATTGCCCACCCTTGAAATCTTGCAAAAGCAGATGCGTCCCTTTCAAATATTTTGTAAGGTACGCCACGGTATTTCAGCACATTAGCCAGTGTAAGTCCGGATATACCCGCACCGATAATAAGCACTGGCTGGTTGTTATCGCTTTTATTTAAAGGCATAGGAATAAAGAAGTAGAATAACTTGAAATGCAGCCAAGAAAAGATAGGAAAAGAAAAAAAAAGTGCTATTGTTAGTAAAGAAAAAGGAATGGGTTGCTGCATTTCCTCCCTTGCAGCCGTCAATTACGGATAGAAGTGGGTGCTTTTGGCTTTTCTTAACAGTTGCCCCTTTCTTTCTCTGTTGCTTTTAATAGAGTAAGCATGTGGCATTGAATTGGTTGCAGAGATATGCATTTTGCGTTCCTTTGAGTTCAGTAAACAGGAGGCTGTGTATAGGAAGCGTAGACACACATTACAAATAATGCTCTGAATATATGTTACAGTATTGGATGATACTCAAACCTCCTCATTACTTCTAGCAAGTAGATGGACTTTCGCTTTCATGTACTACAACACAGTTTTTACATGTCATACATTGCTATGTGCACGACCCTGTGATACTACTCGCGCCTTAGCAGACGATAAATCTGGTCATGTTTCATCCGCAGCATTATATTACATTTGTTCTTGCTTCTACAAGCTAGCTATTATATCATCAAATGATTATGTAGACAGTTTCTAATTGTATGCAAAGGGTCGGCTAGCCTGTCGGTTCTGTGATGCAATCAGCTTTCAGGCTGTTTGATATACTATCCGATATATTGTTCACCTTCATACCATTGCAAAAAGTGATCAAATTGTCAAATGATTCGGTTGGCACTGTAAACTAATACACACGAAATCATAGGTCACAACGCGCACATTGTCTTTCTTATACAATATCTATCATTATGCATGGTGCATGTTTCTGATCGATGTTGCCGTGCACTCGGCCATAACAGATGCATCGGGCAACAACGGAGGAGTAATCGGAATCAGCCATTGTGGATTGTTGTCTTATAAAAGCTCTACATATCCGTACTGGGAAGCGATACAAGACAAAAGACGTGGGGCATTGTCAGTTGTGTAGCAAATAACTAGTATTCTAGTTGAGAACAGCCATGGGTGTCTCCCGATACTCATATTCTCGGTTTCATTATTCAAAACAGATGTGTAAAGAAAGCACAGAAAGAGGGATAATACAAGATTGTTGTTGGTACATTAATATCTACAGAGTGGAGAAAAGAAGGATTATCAAAAGTTGAAGAAAAAATATAACGGGATTGACTTGTCTGGATAAGTGTTTTCACGACAATTAATTGGTACGTAATTCAGAACACATATAAGACTTTGCTATAGTCATCATCTGAGAACCACAAAATCGGCCCAAACATCCTCGCGCAGCATCAACCTCTTCAAATCGAGTAACTGAGTCACCCTGCCCCAATGATGGATCCATGGCATATTTGACACGGCTAATGCAAAACGGTACTGGTTCACAGCTGTGGTCGCCATAAAGAACTGGAGTTGAGTGGTCGCTTGTGACAATGGTTGTATACTATGAGGATATGGCGTGGTTACATACATTCATATACAAATAAAAAACTTCGATTGTCTAAACCTCTTTACCTCATTTTCTCCGTCATCTTCACATAGCTGACGGATAATGTCACCCATCATAATGTCAATCTTTTCCAGAAATTTGATCTACAAGACACAACGATTAGCAGTTATCCACATGTATGTATTAATGTATATCGCACTTTCAATCCAACGCCTATAATCCCAAACTATTTACTATGTACCTTGAAGTCTATGTTGCGGTCATGTCCGGCATCATCCACCGCCTTTATATGTAAAAATCCAAAATCGTACTTTGATCCTTTGAGATTGGCAACAACTGCATCGCCTTTGGCTTGAAAGTTCGTGTGATAATCGCCCGTGGCACCTTCAACTTGGAGAATATCCATACCAGCAGTCATGCCAAGTCCTGCAATAATACAAGTAGGCGCAATCAAAAAGCTCTTAAAGCCGTGCAGTCTCTCTATACTAGGAATCTTTGATACTTTGATTTAGTACTAAGTGTTTCCATGAGGTGTATGCGTAGTATGCCATGCATAAGAGAATACAGGTATCTCTTGTCATCCCACTACCACCATAAGCCTATCTGAAAACTTACGTCGATACAGCTACCGCATCCACGAAGTAGTATACAGTTTGCTGGGGTTTTGCCGGCTTTCTTTCTATCGTCATTGATAGGGTGTTTGCTCAATATTTCGTAAAACACATCAGATAGCTCGTTAATCAACTAAAGCAAACAAATGCGTCAGCCTTTCAGTTCTATCCTTGCAGAATTCTTTTAACATTCCACCATCATATACCTTGCTGGTCATATGAGCTTCTACGGTATTTTCGGTAGGAGCGCATTTTACAAGTGGTAAACTATATAGTGCTATTGAGTCAACAGACTCCTCTTTAAAACGTGAAAGCATAGTTTACCGTCCCCGATTAATCTCTACATATCACTTACTTGTCTTTTAAAGGATCTGTGCCACTAATTGTATCGGTCAGTCGGGGACCCCGGACACGTACACCACATCGATGTTCAGTTGCGTATTTCACTGCAACGGTGTGTTCGGGGAATGATGGCAGCTTGCTATAAATTGTTCATAAGATAAAACAATCATATAAATGAGCTGTTCATACAAAGAGAAAAGGGTACCATACTACTTACGCGCCATCCAAAGCATCACATAGTGTGGGTCCTAATCCTTCAAAATGACGATCTGCACGTCTAGAAATGACTATTTCAGTTTCTCTATCGAGGTAGGCAAAGTTTGACTAAGACAGATATGCTTCTCTAAGTACACTTGTTTTTTAAAATGCTATCCAAATTTTGATAAGGCAAGTAAAATACCTTGAACGCAATATCACCTGGGACCATTTCTAAACCAGCACCCATTGTTTCGAAAGCGCCCCTACCTCGGTAGTACCTGAATGGGAAAAAAATCTGTGTTAGCAATCATTTTCTACCTTTATCGTAACAAATACCAAAAGCTTACTTCCGAGGGTTATAACCGAGAATTGACATGTGTGCTGTATCTGATCCACATGCCAAACCAGGCTCAACAGAATCCATGAGTCCATTCTTACCACCCGCTTGTTATAATACCATTTTGACAAGAGAGAGAGAGAGAGAACGAAATCTCCAATTAGTTTGTGATTCACACTCATATACGATCTACTTCCTTCTCGTACCTGCCAGTCTATCGAGCCATGGCGTTTTTGCTGCTTGGAGAGGCGTTTGATAATCGAGTTGAGGAATGGCCACGTCGCCTAGGCCGTCAATGAGAACAAGCAAAAGTTTCTGTTTGGCCACCATTGCAGCTTCGCTATATAAGTGCGGGTGCAAAAAAAAATGAGAAACTGAACCTCTGCTCTGCAGAAATTTGGCGGGACAGGAAGCACTCGTCCTACACTGGGATCTTCCTCAATCCTGTGTATTTTCTTTTATCCGACGCGAATCCATCCATAGATCATTTCACTCTGACAAATTTTTGTGCATATCCATTACATCCTAGAAATGGAAGCACAATACTTAGCTTATATATACTCTAGTAACCATACAAAACAAAAGTTAGTTAATCAATGTAGTCGGTATGTCTAGTGTAGTGATAGCTGTAGTTGTTTTGCAATCTTGCTGGATGAACAGCAGACCCAAAAGATGGCATGCTACTTGTTGTTTGCATTCAGCAGAGAGGTCCGCTGATTGTTTCCAAGATGATGTGATTTAAACATCATGTCTATCTAGTTTCACAGACCTTCTTTTAACAGGATACCATTCAGACATTAACTTATACTGTACGTATGAGCATTCAACAAGAAATGGATTCTGCCACTTTGCAAGTATGTTAGTCACTGCTTGCCATGGTACCAGTATGTCATACCTTATCAGATAGTATAGTAAGTCGAAAACTGCCTGCCAGTTCATAGTTCTGTCGATTCGATTCTTTACATACAAAAGGTTTCTGTGATACATGCAAGCGTATTGAGCGTTTGCATTAATTTGTCACAAAATTAATAAGTGGCGCTATTCATACTCGGGGAAACAAAGTGAAGAAACAATTGGTCTCGGCGCTGAAAGAGCCGATAGAATCTCAACGCTCTTTTGCAATCTAACACACCATGGGAAAGACGGTCCAAGTGTCCAAAGAAAATCCTCTTGCTGAACGCACAGCCGAAGTACATGCGTTGACTCGAGCCGAGGAAGAAGCATGTTACAATGATCTCAAAGCCAAAGCACTCGAATACTGCAAGATTCCCATTAAAGGTACCACCTTGGCCTTTTCTTCTTTTCTGTTGTCTGTAAACTGCACTTTTCAACGAGTACTTTATTAAACAAAACAAAATCTTTTACAGAGTTCGTGGAATGTAGCAAGGAACATAACATTACAGTAATGTGGACTTGCCGTGATAAATTAAAGACAATGAACAACTGCTTGAATACACGGTAAGAAAATACTTATTTAAAGTTGACTGCGAACTCTCAGGGTTGCAGAAAAAAAAAGAACGGGCCTTTGACGAAAATGTTTTTCTAGGACTACACGTGAAGAGCTTGACAAGCTCAAGTTGGTTAAGCTTGAAGCAAAACGCGCAGCAGTGAGAAAGGAACAGCAACAACAACAATAACGATAACAGCAGTAACGCTTTTCAAAGGCGGATGTTTAGATTTTCATATTATGTACACTCATGGTTTCTTTTCTATTTATCTTGATTGATTACATCATCCCTTGTTGGTAACTTCCACCCTTGTCCCCATTAAGAAAAGCGACCATCCAACACTTTGTATACTTATTAAACAGCATATGCTTGTTTTCCATGTTCCTGTTTTAAAAACAAAGTTAGTAGAGTTAGTAATCCAGAACAAAGGTAGCACCATACAGATAGAAACTTACGCTAATAACACAGATATGGTCGAGGTCACGGAAATACTCGTTGTAATCCAATGCATAGCCAACGACGAAAGCATCAGGGATAGCGAAACCGACATAATCAGGAATGTATCCATTGCTACGCTCAGTCTTCTTGACCAACAAGCTGGTGACGCGAACCGACTTTGGGTTGAAATCCTGGAGGCGTTTCAGCAATTTAACCATGGTTTTACCGGTGTCGATGATATCTTCAACAATAAGCAGATTCTACACGAAAGCAAGATACACGGTATAATCAGTATACATGCGTACGCCAAGCTGAGCTTCTTTTTATGATGGCTTATCTTATCAGCCAAAATTATATTTACTTTGCCAGCAAGATCCTGGCATTCACTGTCGCTCAGCGAGATAGTGACGCCTTCAGACTGATCGTTCTTGTAGGATTTGACGCGAATGAACTCCAAGCTCAAGGGCACGCTCATACCGTTGTTCTTAGTCAACGCCTTGATCTGGTTTACAAGGTCAGCAAAGTACTGGTGGCCACCTTTTAATATACAGCATACAACTGGGTTTTTTTTTTTCAAAACAAAGTTTTTAGTTTTCTGCTTATTGTGCAACACGAAAAGGCACGGCTTTATCACGCAAAACAATACCTAGAGGACCAGTTGTGTCGTCCACAATGAGACGGGCAAGTTTTTGGATACGGTCCTGTAAAAGGCCAGAGAGAGAGAGAGGAGTTAAGACGAAGTGGGAAAAGCAAGATGGAGCCTGTCAATGCCAGAACAAAAGTTCGGAATGGGTTGTTCTTATCGCTACCATAATGACACCGTGTGGGATCAGAATGCTGGACACGTCCTTTTCATAGTGCTTGGGAATGACAAAGTGCTCCAAGGAGTAGTGGTTCTTTTCGGGAGTGACGTCGATATACTCTTCAGGTTTCATAGGCATGGTTGTTGCTGGATAAACAAAACTTTAAACAGTTGCAGGAAAAAGTAAACAGAAAGAAGGGAGAGAGAGAGAGACAGAAAGAAATTCGTTTTGATCGGTAACGAAG